TACGTACATATTAATTGTTCTGAGTTCTCATCTCAATTCTTTGAATTGGGCTTTTATTTCTTCAACATGAGTCGTATGAAATAATATGTTTGTGCTTCTAGTGAACGAGTTAATTGTCTAGAAACTGTCGACAAGAAATGAATTTTTCTATTGCTCTTAAAGCTCTACTAATGCAGCTAGGCATCTAGTTATCTTCTAAAAACCTTGGATCATGTGCATATTATTAAATATACATTCAGCATCGTTGATTTTGTTTAATTGGTATTTTCTTCTTTTGAAACAGGTTTGACTGGACTGACTCATCTCGATCTTTTCGGAGCTCGTATTACTGATTCGGGGACAAATTATCTGCGAAGTATGATACATGGCACTTTCTGTTTTGAATTTACATTCGAAGAAAGAGATATTTATAACTTTAGCTTACAAGTTTTTTGACAAGGTGTTAGATTGCAAGGAGTTTAACACCTATTTGCATGCAGCATTTCATCTTTAGTATTCTCACAGTGACCTGAACACTTAAGGACTAGCTTTACATTTGATGTGTTTTCTTTTGAAGAATTTAATTGTTTTTGTTTTTGTTTAATAGACTTCAAGAACTTACGCTCCTTGGAAATATGCGGCGGGGGATTAACCGATGCTGGAGTGAATAATATTAAGGATCTTTCATCCCTGTCACTGCTGAATCTGTCACAGAACTCTAACCTCACGGATAAAGCATTGGAGATGATTTCCGGTTTGGCCGCGACTTGCACTTGATTGTTATTTTCCTTAAAGCCTTCCCATCTTACATATAAATAGGAATAAATTGATCTTGTCAACTTTAGCGGTTTACCCCTTATAATTTAGGCGAAAAGTCGCTAATGGTGAGAGAATAACCATTAGCCGATGTTTCTACGTGAGAATGAGTTGGTCATAAGAAAAAAAGAAAAAGAAGAAGAATTGGTATCTAGGTTTTAGGGTTCGCCTCTCTTATCAGTCTTGGATGAAGTATTTATAACAGTTTTAGTTGACAATGTCAGATATAGGGTTATTATATCTATTCGTAGGTCAGCAGACTAGATAGATCCGGCAGTCAAACCATAAATTTTGATCTGGTAAATCACGTGAGTCTGTTAGACACCCTGTCTAGAAGTTGTCCGGGCATTGTAATCTATTCATATATTAATGACGTTCTCGTCTCCGGAGGCCAGAGATGTTTCAGCAACTCTGATGGGCAGAGGGGGTAATGAATGAGGTCATGGATGTACTGATTGCACTTGCATCTGAAATGCAGGGTTGACAGGATTGGTGTCTTTGAATGTTTCGAATTCTCAAATAACAAGTGCAGGATTGAAACATTTGAAGCCACTGAAGAATCTAAGATCTCTGAACTTAGAGTCCTGCAAGGTCACCGCAAACGACATCAATAAGCTTCAGTCATCACACCTCCATCATCTGGTTAGCTTCCGCCCCGAGTAAATTCCATTGGTGGCATCCGTATAATCTGTAAGTAGCTCTTATTATTCTTCTATCTCATGTATTTATTTATTAATTTTAAATTTATTATCTGATTTATTTATTTATTTATTTATTTATTTCAAATTTGTTTATTTATTTATTTCAAATTTATGTATTCGTTTATTTCTAATTTATTTATTTATTTTAGATTTATTTATTTATTCCACACATATTTATTTATTTGTTTATTTTTATTTCAAATTTATTTATTTATTTGAAGGGATATAAACAATCTTTAATGAGTTTTATCAATCGTTTTCCTTCCCCTTATGACGATATTATTCTATACTTCAACGAAGTTGGTTTTGGTAACATTGACCCCGTAACTAGTGGTATAAAGTTGCACCATCCGTTGATAAACGCTTTGATTGAACAGTGGAGACCGGAGACACGCACATTTCATTTTCTTTGTGGGGATGCGATTATTACTCTTGAAGATGTCACATACCATCTTGGGTTGCCTGTTTATGGAAATGCTATTATCAGTGTGGCTCATGGGAATTGGCGAACCTTTTGTGAGGAACTGCTCGGAGTTACTTCGTTAGAGCAGGATTTGGATGGAGGAAAGATCTACAATAAATTTTAGAATGACAATTTTGCGTAGCTCCACGTTGATGCTGCTCCATAAATTAAACATATAATTATTTAAATCTATGTTTATTTATTGTAATTTATTTATTTATTTATAATATTTAATTTTTTTTAGTTTATGTTATTGTAATTTTTTACGATAAATTTTTAATGTATTCTCACCGTTTTTATTTTACAGCAATTTGCATGTGCTCATATTTTACAAGTTATTAGGGGGTCTTAATGCCTGATAAAATCCCGAAACAAAGTGCATCAGATGTGGTTGTATCATCTACACGATTTGCGAGCCTCTAAAAATAAGAGTTAGGGATCGACATTGTAGGCTTTTTATTCAAAGAGCTATGTAAAGTTATTAATCCGATCAAATAAGCGCTTGGAGGCTATTTAATGTTGTTACAATCATGAGATTGGTTTCGAATACATTTTTTAGTGTCGACTCCTTCAAAACCGACCCCCATTACAATCTCCACTACTTCGGAGGTAATTACAAATAACCTACGTTTATATATTTATTACTACATGTTTTTGTAGTTTTACAAATAATTATATTTTATTTTATGAATGATAGGTGGGTCATCTCACTTACTCAGCCATCTACCAAAAAGTCTACGTGATTTTAGATTGTCTACGTAATCGATTTTATAATTATAATTTGTAAATTACTATTCAATTTTTTATTCGGGTTTTTCTAACATAGTTCAAAAAATATTAATGTACTTCTTGTGGATGTCATACAATGACGGTGCTATTATAACATGTACTCCGGATGAGATACGTCATGATTCACACGTTTGGATGTCGGTGGTCCCGTTGATAGTCTATGAGATCGTCGAGTGTCATTCTACTGATTGCATGTTGTGGCAATTTGGTCGTGTCCTAATGATTCTGCCACCACCAACAACCTTGGATAAGGCCTTGCATCGCATAACATGATAGGGGAAGACAGAGGTTAATTGGGAGATGTATCATATGGATTGGGTGAAGTAGTGGATAGCGAGGTTCGTTAGACAACCCGTCTATGAACCCATCTTGACTTGCGGTGTTTTAGATGATTACATGTTGTGGTAATAGAAAAATTGGATATCACATATACTGACCGAGGAGGAGCGAGCGTGAGACATTTATAGGCCTCCCAAAACCATTTGCCCACGCAACGTCCCTCGACACAACATGGTGCAAGTCGAACTAGATGAAAACTCACTCAACCCTCATTATCGACGACACAAGAGCCACCTACAGAGAATCAGACACCGTTGATGACATCTATATTCACCCACTTGACTCAATCAATATTTCAGGGTGAGATTACCCGCTATAAATAAATATCCCTTTCCATTGATATTGTAAGTTTTAACATGGTCTATGCTTATAAAAGACTTTTCTTCTGGTGGCACAACTTGGTACTAAACTTATGTCAATATTGGTGCTATAAGTTATTCCATCCGAAGAGAATGCCTTTTATGAAAGATATGACCTTCTCGACAAAATGCTTGTTTCATAGGTTTCGTACTATTTGTCAAACAACAATGTTTATAAAACATTCTCTTCGGGTGGCTTCCTTTGTTAGTTGTCTTTTATACGATATATTTGTAAAGTCGATTAAACATGAGTAATCCGACCTTCTTGGGAAACTCTACGAAGGCATCCTCTTCTGGTGGCATCCTTTACAACTTTTCTCGCTTGAGACGTTGATCTGACAAATGGCACACCGCCAATTGTCTTATCGCTCGGGAAACTAATCGTTTCTTAGAAGGCATTCTCTTTAGGTGGTTCCATCAACTTATCGCTCGTGACATGGATCTGATAGGGGTGGACATGGCTTCCAAATTCCATTTTTATCCCCAATCCACTCTCCATCAAAACGACATTTCTAAGAAGGCATCCTCTTCCGATGACACTCTCTACTTGAGGCATCAAACCCACAGATGGCACACCTCCGCTTATTCCCTCAACCTTATTGTGTTTTTTTCATTGCATTACTTTTTGTTTCAAAGAATTTTCAACACGATTATTATACCGTTGAAAATGTCTCGTATGTGCCGATACTAGCCATGTCTATCAAATCATTTTAGCTTGTTTTGTATGCACAAAACCGAGCATTGGATCTATTTTGAACGCGATTTTGTATCTTCTTATTCTTGCACAAAACAAGCTTTGGTACCATTTTCAACAAGCTTTGGTACCATTTTCAACACAATTTTCAACCGGCCTATAATATCTCTTATGTCTTTATTAGTCTCAACTGAATGATAAATTTCAATACTACGCGAAGAATCTTATAAATTACAAAAAAAAAATCGAGATTAAAAACTCGAGCATGCCTGTAAGAACTTGTGGATTGTTGGAAAAAATAAATAACTCGTTCTTTTGGAAAATGCAAGGTACTTTGAATACTTATCGCGATAAATTTCTAGGGACGGTTCAATATCTCGTGAATCTCACGTTCTGAAAAAACGCAATGTACTAAATAATTATATTAAATTAGGTAATCTAAAAAGTGTACAATACCTCACATCCTATAAAATGTGATACAGGTTCTTGCGTTGGATAAGATACGAGATAATCCTACATGTGCAATTTAAGGAGTATTTTTTTAACAAATTTATTAAGGGGTTTACTGTTAAAAAAATAATTAATGGGGTTTTTTTTTAATATAAAATTACCGTTTCTTTACCCCTGGCCGATGCAACAAGCCTATCAATCACAAGGTTTGCTTCATAATATACGTGATTTATTGTTAAGTAAACGTTGAAAGTTAAGTTCATCATAAAGCCTTACAAAAATTGTTAATTGATTAATAAGCAAAGTAATAAAAGTGGACTTTGGCGTGGCAAAATTGGAAATTCGGTCAAAAAATATCTCCTTCGTGTCCAATGGCAACTCTTTTATTTCCAAACAAATTGCTCTTTCGTTCTCTGATTCTCCTCCGCACAAACGTCGACCCACCTCCGATCTGCTGTTCTCTCTTGACCCTTTCATAATCTCTTCTATTCCGTTCCATTTCTCCCCATTTCTTTGTAAGTTCTTTACATTCGATTTTTTCCCGAGAGATCTTTGCAAAGTTTCAAGGTTTTTTTTTTGCGATTGTTTGTTTTAGAATGGATAGTAATTATTCAGCTATACCCAAAGGCACCGATGTAGAATTACAAATGCAGAATGAACCCCAGGACTTTAGATCCCAACAGAAATTTCTCCTTTCCGATGACGGAAACTGGGTAAATCACGCCAAGGTTGCTCACGACTTTGATGATCTTAACGAGGAGGACGACAACAATATCGATGTTGATCCTGATGATTATACCCTTGTTCTGAGTAAACCCAATACTGGGTCTGGTATTGCTGGTGCTGTTTTTAACTTAACTACCACAATTATTGGTGCGGGAATCATGGCTTTGCCTGCTACTATGAAGGTTCTTGGAGTTGTTTTGGGGATTTGTTTGATAATCCTGATTGGGTTTTTGTCTGAAATGAGTGTCGAGATGTTGATTAGGTTTGCGGTTTCTTGTAAAGCTAGATCTTATGGGGAAGTTGTTCAGATTGCAATGGGGAAAACCGCTAGGATTTTATCTGAGATTTGCATAATTGTCAACAATACAGGTGTTTTGATAGTTTATTTGATTATCATGGGTGATGTTATGTCCGGTTCGGTTCGTCATCTTGGGATTTTTGACCAGTGGTTGGGACATGGCTTTTGGGATCATAGGAAGTTGTTGGTTTTGGTTGTTATGGTTGTTTTTCTTGCTCCACTTTGCTTGTTAAATAGGATCGAATCATTGAGCACCACATCGGCTGCTTCGGTCGCTCTGGCCGTCGTTTTCGTTGCGGTTTGCTTTGCTGTTGCATTCATTAAGCTTGTTGAAGGGAAAATTGATCCTCCAAGGATGAGCCCCGATCTCAGGTCGAAAATGGCAATTTGGGATTTAATAGTAGTTATACCTGTCATGACGAATGCATATGTTTGCCATTTTAATATCCAGCCTATATATAACGAGCTCGAAGGGCGATCGCCTCAAAAGATGAACAGGGTTGGAAGGATCACAACTTCTATTTGTGTTGTAGTCTATGCCTCAACAGCTATATCAGGGTATTTGCTCTTTGGGAAGGACACTGAAGGTGATGTTTTGACCGATTTCGATAGGGATCTTGGAATTCGTTTTAGCACTGCTTTGAATTATATCGTCCGGATCGGTTACATTTTCCATTTGATTCTGGTTTTCCCTGTTATCCACTTTTCCCTACGGCAAACCGTGGATAGATTGGTGTTTGAGGGATCGGCTCCTCTAACAGAGAGTCGTAAAAGGTCATTCGCATTAACAGTAATATTGTTAATGCTTATTTATGTCGGATCTACTATGATCCCGAATATATGGACAGCTTTCAAATTTACAGGAGCAACAACGGCTGTTTCATTAGGTTTTACATTCCCTGCTCTCATTGCATTGAGGCTAAGTCAGCAGGAAGAGGGGTTGAGCTTGAGTAGAGTAGAAAAACTTTTGTCCTGGTTGATGTTAATTTTGGCTATAATTGTTAGCATTTCTGGGACGATCGGAAATATTTATACTATCCAAAGTAAATCCGAATGATTCCTCTAGAAGAGTTTCGGGCCTGTTTTCCCAAGGTATGATTTTGATAATTTTGCTTGTAGCCTTGACGATGGTTAATCTGTTTCGATGTTGCTTTGCTTGCTCAATAGACGAACAGATGGTTTCGGATGATGATATAGGTGATGCATTCTTTTTCCGAGGTGCCAATGCACTGGAAGTCTGCAACAGTTATATTAAATACATTGATGCATTGCCTTTTAATGCTTTTTCAGAGCAACTGCGACCGGTTACTCGGCATACAATGGGAGGACTTGGGAGGATACTGAATGGACCCTCATCTCTTGTAACCTGTAAGTTATTTTGACTTTACAAATCAAAACCATGCTACGGATATGCTTACTTAACATTCTTCTTGCACGAAAGATTCGAGTATAACTATTTGCCGGTGGAAAAATACTAGAACAGATTTAGTAATACTTACATTTTTATTAAGAGGAAGACTTTTTTTTTTTTGCTTCTGGAGAAAAGATCTGTAATGTACTGTAATAGTTTTCATGATACTTGTGCTGCTACTTGCTTGCTTCTATTCAAATGATACGTATTAGATGCTATGGATTTCGTTTGAATTCAACTAAATGCAAAATCCGATGTAGCTGATTCGTGCCTATGTGTTTTGAAATCTATTGTTAAAACACGAATCTGCTCAGTCGTGTTTATATGTTTGCTTAAGAGATTGATAGAGAAGAGAATGTTCATCCCTTTGTTACCATTTTTAATCGGGTAAAGTACGCAAATGGTCTCCGACTATAAGACGTTTTGTTGGGTCTTTCGACTATTAGAAGTTATAAAATGATCCCCGACTCTATGGACTGTTCTGTTGAGTCCCTCGACTATTCACATGTTCCAAACTTGTCTTTTTTCCTCTAAGTTAAACGTTAACATGCTGACTGAAATATGATAAAATCATATTTTAACGATGTCTAATGACTGCTTGACGGCATTAGGTTTCAAGCACCGACTTGATAACATAATGTAAATGGAAAGTCGGTCCACAAAATACAACTCAAGCGGTCTTAAGATCGAATAATTTTATCATATCATAGTCAATATGTTAATGTTCAGCTCATATGGTCGATAATATTTTAATGAAAAAAGACGAATTTGAAATATATGAATAGTCGGATGATCATTTTGTAACTTTTAATTGTCGGTGACTCAAAAAAAATATCGTATAGTCAATCAAAGATTATTTTATAACTTTTAATAGTTGGAGCACTCAATAAAGTGGTGTCCTATAGTCGAGAGAGAGTATTTGTGTAATTTGTCTTTTTTTTAATTAGAAAAAAGATTGATGCTTGATGCCTCTCTAGTCCAAGTTATATACTAAGAAAACATCTTGAAGGAACAATATTTTTCTCCTTTGGAATTGGTAACAAAATTCAATATCTGAACTTTTGAAGTGTGAACATCTAGTTTCCCCTTCAAGTCTCATCTTCCTCGTACTTTTCATATTTTGGTTGCTGTCCAAGTTATCTAGATTCTTTGTTTTTCTCTGAAGACTTTTATACAGGTCATACATTCAAACAAGGTGGCTACGAGATATAATCTTTCAAAAATGAGTTTTTTTTTTAAATATTCGAGAATATGAGTATGTGTTTATAAACCTCGCAAACTTGACCTGAATCTGATTTACCTAACTTAATACCGATATTAACCTGAACATGATAATCAAATTTGATTTGAAACTTGAACCATACTCGACTCGAACCATAATCGATCTAAAATTTAGTTGAACCAATATAGACACATATCCAAATTGACTCGAATCGAAATTAACCCGAACAAAAAGCAACTCGAACTGAAATTAATCCGAATTGAAAATAATCTGAATCGAGAGTAACCCGAACCAAATTTAGTCGAATTTAAAAGTAACTTAAACCAAAATTAATCTTAACCATAAGCAATCCAAGCCGAAAACCTTTATGTACTTGATTAGACTTGTAATCAAATTAAGTCTAAATGATAAGAATAACAAAGAATAAGACATATTTTATATATACTTAATTAGACTCGTAACAAATTTGACTCGAATTGACCTGATTCAAAGGTTGACCCAAATTGAAAATTAGCTAATTCGATATTGACCAGATTGGAAAATCAACTGATCCGATATTGACTCGATCCGAAATCTAATTGATTCGATATTAACCCGACTCAAAAGTCAACCGATCCGAATCGAAAACAATCAATCCGATAATCACCCGACTCGAAAACTGACTCGATTTAGCATACACGCGAACTAAATTCGAATTAGATCTGATTCTGCCCGAATAAAATTAAACCGAATATAATCTAGACTCGAAATAACCCAACCCAAACTCGATTTGAATGACCCGTTTGCCACCTATATATATATATATATATATACATACACACACCTATTTATGGCACTTGCCCTTTTGTTGGTTGTGATGTCTTTGTTTGAAAGTTGTGGTCTTGTGCTGGTGAAATAGCAGAACGATGTAGTTTTAATTAAGAAATGTGTATGGATGGGATCTTGCCAAATATAAGTATATTTTTCTTAAAACTTGTCAATTTTGTAGCAAATGTTGTCAAAACTGTTTTTTTGGAACTTGGCTAATGTAGGGCCGTGCGAACAAGTGATGAAGTTGCGATAAAAATGGTACTTGGCTCTTTGGATTCTCTAGAAGTCTCGAAAAAGGCTCGGTTTTATTGGTAGAGATATAGGTGTTGAAACATACGTGGCGATTAAAATTTAGAATTGATGGAGCTATATCGTATCTTAATACATGACTCTACGACAATGCAAAACGATACGATCATAAAAGCAATCCATAACCTAAGACATCAACATTGGGAAAGTGATAGTTAGAAATGTAAGGCATGAGTGCAACATTTAGCATGACTCGCTTGCCTCGGATCAATAGGAGAGCTTATGTTTGATTCTCCTCTAATTACGGTAAAGGAGCTGATAGAGGAAAAGGCTAAGCTAAGAGCACAGTTGTCGTTGTTGTCTTTCAGGTGGACTCCGGAATTGGGATTCAATTTAAAAAATGTGATTAGAGTTGCAACTAATCATTTTAAAACAATATTTAGGTGGATTAGACACCATCTTACCTGATCTGCGTTTTACCAGAAATGCGTATATATATATGTTTTAAAAAGATCTGAAAAGTTATATGGTTTTTGGGAACACAGTAGATAACCTATTCTGATCTCCTGAACTCAGTCATCCGAAATATTTGTCTGAATTGAAAGCTCATTGTCCGTTACCATCTGAAATATCAGTAGGATCTCTGCTCAGCATAAAAATCTATAAATGTTCGGAAATAATAAGGATATGTATGTTTATCTATATCTGCACATTCTTCAGCATCATCTGGTAGTTCTATATTACTGAGCTTTTCGAAGCTCACTCTATTGCTAACCTTTTCAGGTTAAAAGAATTGTACCAGTGCAGTTATCGACATCAATAAAAGAATTCTTTCGGCGTTGTTTCCAAAGAATGGTACATGTGATTATGGGGCATGTAATTGTATTTTATTTTATATATGAGTCCAAAAGTCGGTTTTATTTTTAAATAGTGACAAATGATTTTATAAGTTTACATGTTATGGTAAAAAGTTTTAAATTTTCCGCTATTTTTACAGTGGGTCGCTCCGGTGGCCCAAATATGACACCCAGATCGGATCTGGTTACCCTTATCGGTCTGTGGGGGTTACAAAAATCAAGGCAATACATTACTACCTCTTTATGTTTTATGGAACATGTTGATAATGGATAAATGCATGAATGTATATGATTGGTCTATTATGCCTGTTTGATTATGGATGGATTCGAACCGAATACGGTTTAAGTGATAAATTAGTTAAGATTATATTGAATTACAAGTCCTGTGATTAAGTGATAAAGGAATCAGTCCTGCCTATGTAAATTATAATTTATCTCATTAAAGGTACTTGGATAATAAATTATGAGAATGCTTCGATTAGGTAAAATTACAAAAATACCCTTATGTTGTAATAAAGATAAGAATTGACTCTGTAAGTTGGATAAGAGTTTTTAAAGACATATTGATATGATGAAACCACTGATGTATACAGAAAGTACTGGTTTTGCTTAGGAAATCTAGATAACCGATTTCTAAATCCAAGATGGCTTGTACAAGATACTAGAAGCTTTGTTAAGGAATAATTTAAAGTTTAGAGATTACCCGGGAAAGCGATTAACCCCAGAATCACTAAATTATAATTATCCTTGTTAAGAGTTTTTATACTAAAATTATTGGGTTAGGAAATTACGACAATGCCCTTGAGAGGTAAAAATAGTCCGGGTTGTCTATGAACGAGAAAGTACTTTGAAAATTCGTACATAACCCGATAAATTACAAATTTAATTGTTAAAATCCTGTCTTTGTACAGAAAAGTCCTGATAACCTGTTTGTAACATCTGAGAAGGCAGTTGACCTGAAAATCTATGAGTTAAGAGTATATACTTGAAGAATAAATTATTGAGAGTGCTCATTTATAAGGATTGTTCGAAAGGACTGATTAGATGTTAAGTTTAAATTAAATGATAAGGTCATACTGAAAGAAAGAATTTAAATATCTTGAATCTATAAAATGACTAAAATACCCCTGGAATGAAAATGACCCAGGAATATCACCAAGCTCAAGAATGATTGGATATCCTCGAGCTCTGAAAAGAATAGAATAAAACTGAGCACCAAAATACCCTTATAGCCTAGAATAAGTAAATTTCTTGGATTAATTAAGGAATCCAAATAAACATGGATGTGGTACTACTCTTAAAAGTTATGGAACACATATTAAAGTGGTCAACCAACGCTAGGGCTATATCAGTATCTGAATGGCATAGATGCCACTTGAATGCTTGTTCGTCTCCTTAAGTTTGGATTGATGATAATTATGGAAGTACTCAGCTCAACTCAACTCTAGATCGCATTCGGTACTAAGAAGTGGATATTCGTTAGACAAATAAACCAAGAAGACCAAATTGAATTGAACAGAAGTACAATATGTATCCGAAATTCAGAAATGTCCGAATTACTCTAGAAAACTTTGAAGTAACCGGGATATACTTGACTATTAAGCAAATTAAGTAAGCTCAATGACTGATGATTAAATAAGTGATTTGGATGAGTATGAGAATGCTAATGAACTTACATGATGTACTGTCCTTATGGGCCATGGACTACAAATCAAGCACGCTAGCATTTCATGATGTCGTGAAACGTGGAAATGAAATAAAGATCGTTGGAAGATTTATTCGTCGATGATTCTGAAGATGATCAATGGACAAGAATTTTTGGTATTAAAGAGTAAATACCCAGAAAGGATAATGAATTGACCAGTCGACAAACATTAGTTATGGGATTTGTTTATCTCGATTTGTTCGATAATCAGATCAATCGACATATTTTTGTATAAAGGTTCTTGAACACTTTACTGATGCACATTGTTGAGTTAATCGATTGACTGAATCGACCAAGAGGGGGGTGAATTGGCAATAAAAATTTTTGTGGAAGCTTTTGCAGAAAATTGAAAGAAATTGCACAGCGATTTAGAGT